GGGGACAAGGAGCCCCGCAGAACCCAGGTCTGTCCTCACAGCTCAGCAGCCTGGGAGGTGGGCTCAGTGCACACGGCCAATCTTGTCACTTAAATACCCCTCGGCACCCCCACGTGGAGACGTAGGAGGAGTCACCCGTGAGAAGTGAGAAGCTCCCCGGTGTGACCCCCTGCTGGCCTAGCAGCCCCCAAGGGAAAGCACCCATTGTCTCCTCCTGCTGGGCAGGGCCCTTCCTCCCTGGGCTCAGTGAGCTTCACTGCCAGACCCTCTGCTAAATCACCAGTCCCTCTTACAGGCACCTGGACCAGGGCCTCGGCCTCCAGCAAAGCCCCCAGGCCCAGGAGTGCCTTTACACAGGCCTCTGAGATAGTGCCTTGGGCAGAAGGGCAGGTTGGTGGCCCAAGCTAGAGCCTCTGCCTGTCTCTTGCTCACTGGACAGGAGTCCGAAGGACAGGAGGAGGCACAACCAGGGTGGGGGTCCATGGGGTGGGGGAGGTACAGCTCCCTCTGCTGTCAGTTCTATCCGGTGCTTCACTAGAGGCCCAGCGTCTGGCTCTGTCCCCTGTCCCCCAGGGCTCAAGGAGACACAGCTGGGGTGGGGGAGCACATGCAATCTGGCTGCGGGTCCACAGGGCAAAGGGAGACATAGCCAGGATGGCTGTCTGCAGGGCAGGGGCTAGGCACAGGCAGGCCTCGGGTCTCAGAGCCTGTTTCTTCCCCGCCCTGGACTGGGCTTTCTCCAAAGCCTCAGGGGGTCTGCTCGGCTTTTTGCTTGGCCAGTTTTATGGATCCCCCCCCATCCCCCTCCTGCTCTCCTATCTGAGACCTGCTTTTAGACATGCGGTCCCTGGAGCCCATGTGAGGCCGGAAAGAGGCCAGTGACACCAATGACACTGACGTACCTGCCTCCTGCCCCCCAGCTCCCTACCGAGGAGTGCTGGTGTTGCTTACACAGGTGCTCCCAGCAGGGCAGAGCCAGGGAGCATGGCTGGCCCGCACAGGGAGGGGGCCAGAAGGCTTGGCTCCCTCTGCTGTCAGTTCTATCCGGTGCTTCACTAGAGGCCCAGCGTCTGGCTCTGTCTCCTGTCCCCCAGGTCCACCTGCTGGGATGGGGGTCACCGTCCGTTCTTTCCAAGCAGGATCTGAGTGCCTGGGACACAGGACAGGTGGGTTTTGGAGAGGATGGGGTAAGACGGAGGAGGACGGGCCTGGAGGAGGTCACTCCAGGGAGGCCTCAGGCAGCTAAAGTGGGCAAGCCACGTGGTGGCAAACTGAATGGCACAGAGCCACAAGGCCTGAATCGCACCTGCCCCTTCCTGGCTGTGTGATCATGGCCAGTTGCTGATCCTCTCTGTGCCTCAGTTTTCTCACCTGTAAAATGACAATCATAATAGTCTTACTCCAAAAGTTTGTTGTGAGCATTAAAATCCATCCAGGATAGAGCCAGATACCTCCTAAGCGCCATGTGCATGGATGCCATGCTTTTATGATTGTTATCTAAGTGGTAGGGGATGCTCAGTGCCCAAGTCAAGAGCTATGAGTTAAACTGAGGCAGGAGGAAGCCAGAGGGTACAGGTTCCGGAAACAGGCTCTCCGTGGGAGACCTAGCAGGCAAGTCTGTCCGTGTCTTTTAGGCACTAAGCAAAGATGACAGGCTGCTCCTGGACGTGACGTTGAGCAGTGTAGCCTTAACCCGGCATGAGAGCAAGACCAGTGGGAGCAACTGCCATCCAGGCAAAGGGCAGCAGGCACTGGGGCAGCCCCTGCCAAGGGGCTGTGACCCCGGAGGAAAGACCACTCGGTGGCAGAGGTGTCATCTGAGCTGGCCCCCCAGGTGTGGGAAGGAAGTCTCCTGCATGCCTAAGGTCCCAAAGTAGCTCAGGGAACGGCGCACTTGACTGAGCTCCACCCAGCAAGAGTTGTCAGGTGCTCACGCATCCAGCTTTGCCATGGGCTTGGTGCTCTGCTTAGAGCACTTCCAGACACTCTCTGAGATTCTCCCAAGTCCTGACCTGAGAGCTCATGCCATCCCCAGACCGGCCTCGTCCCCAAAGAGGCAGGCTGGCCAGAGGGCCTGGCCATCCCTGATGCCCTGTCCAGGCAGACTGTCCTCTTCTTCCCTGGCCCCACCATCCCACCATCAAGGCCTGCCTACTTCCTCCGGTCTGCCTGCCTTCTTCCTAGAAGCTTCCAGACCCCCAGTCCCCAGCGGCCCTCCCCTTTCTAGTGACTACAGCTTTTCACTTGGCGTCCACTTTTTCCTTGCACTTCCTGTGGGCCACCTTGCTAGACATCTGGGGGCCATACTCTCTTCCTGCTTTGCTCATGCCTCAGTCCCTGGGACCTGTGCTGGACCTGTCCTGTCCTCCTGGGATCAGAGTCCCTAGTGTGGGACGGGGGACCTACAGTCACACCATTGAGTGTAATGACTGGCTAAGATGAGAAAAGAAGGAGCTAGTCACCCGTTGGTGGGGTGCAGGAGTGGCAAGAGCATTCAGCAGAATCTGATATGACCGAGGTGCCCTGGAGGCTTCCTGGAGGAGGTGATGGAGGACGTGGCACTGGCTCTGGCTCTTAAGATGATGGGAGTTCATGAGAGGCTCAGGAGAGAACAAACAGCACATGCAAAGACCCCACGGCCGAGAGAGGAAGGCGTGTCTGGGGAGCAGAAAAGAGGCCCAGGGCAAGTGCACACAAGACAAGGCAGGGAGTGCACACAAGACAGTCAGGGCTGTGTGGAGGCATTTGGAAAGTGGGGGAGGCACTTGAACAGCACCTCAGGTAGAAGTAGACACTCCCGTGGACTTTATGAATGACTGGTAGCTGCCCTCCTTGGCCAGTATCCCTTGGCGCCCAGGACTGTGGCTGCCCCACCTGGTGGCAGGCCATGACCCCACCTTAACCTGCACCAGTGACTTGGAGAACGGGGAGCCCCATGGCACCTCAGCTGCTCCATGGCCCTGTCCCTTCCTGGGACTGACCGGCACCTTGTGCAGGATACAGATAAGACCTGAGAGGAGCAGCCGCTGACATCATTTGGGCCCCGCTCTGCAGGACAGCAGCCCGGGCCTGTGGCTTCCTCTGTCATCCATATCAAGGGCAGGAGGTGGCCGGCTGCCCAGCCCGGCTCCCAGCGCACCATGGCCTGCGGGTTCCTGGCGGGAACAGCTCTGTTTGTGTGACTGGTCTTGGGGGTCGTAAATCCCTGAGAAGGGCACATTCCCAGCACCGGAATGCCTGCGTTGGAGAAGGCCGGGGTCGTGCTGAGGCCAAGGGCAGAGACAGGCTTGACATCATTTTCAGGAAATTTGTTCTCTGGTTGGTTTGGTTTGGTCAAAGGCAAATGCCGTATAGTCTCTGGGGAAGAAACCAGAATGCCTGCTCCTCATGGCCAGATTCCATTAATCCTGCCCTCAGTGTGGCTGGGGTGGGGGCACTGGGAGGAGGCGGGGCCAATCCTGCACAGAGCCCCAAGTGAGGACAACTCACTGGGGACACTGGGGGGACAGGGCCAGTCCTGTGCAGAGCCCCAAGGGAGGACAACTTGCTGGGGACACTGGGGGGGCAGGGCCAGTCCTGTACAGAGCCCAAGGGAGAGCCTCACTGGGGATAGCCAGGGAAGACAGGCACTGGCCTGGCCACAGGATGGGCACATGGCACCTGCCTTCTCTCTGTTTCTTTTCCCAACTGGAACCAAAGGTAGAGCAGGGGCCACCTTAAGCAGAAGTGAGAGACCCTCCTCTCTAAAAAGAATTTCCTCTCCCAGCAGGTGCTTCCTAGGGAGGGCTGGTCCCCTGGGGAGGGGGCACCCAGCACCCAAGCTACTTGGTTGTGTTCCTGTCCCATCTCTTCTTAGCGAGTGATTTGGGGCCAACTCTCCACCCCTGAGGTTGGTTACATCTGCCCCAGGCTGCTGTGAAACTTTACCAAACCACGTGACATCAGGACCACATGCCTGACCGTTGTCTGGAGCATGTCTGTGCCCAGGAAGCTCTTCTTCCCCTTCTGTCATGGAGGGGAGGAACATCCTGCCCGGGGGTCCTGATCTCTGGTCATCAGTCACCCAACGTCCAGGCCCTGAGGCCCAGCAGGGAGAGCATAGCAGCATCCCAGGAGCTGAGAGAATATAGGCTCTCATGAGATGTCAGCTTCAGTGCAGTGACAAGTAGATGTGCCACATAGCGTCCTGCGATCAGTGCCACGAGGACATGCAGGCAGTAGGGGGAAGAGCATTCCCAGCACAGGGAACAGATTCGCTTTGCATGATTTGAGCATCACGTTAGATGAAATCCTGCAGCGGGTGCCTGTGTGCACCTGACTTTTCACTCAATACCATGTCTGGGAGGTTTAACAAGTCACTGGCTATCGCAACTCACACTTTCACTTCTGTAAAAGAAGTAGACGCATTGTGGTTTATTAAGACAATGGAGTGACCAGTAGCACTCCATTGTCTTAATAGACCACAATGCGTCTACTTCTTTTACATTTGGATTGTTTCCATTTGGGGTTATTGGATTTATTTTCCTAGTCAGAGTCAGGCTGGAGCACAGAGGAACGATCACGGCTCACCACTGCCTGGACCTCCTGGGCTCAGGCGATCCTTCCACCTCAGCCTCCTGTGTAGCTGGGACTACAGGCACACACCACCACACCTGGCTAATTTTTAGATTTTTTTCATAGAGATGAGGTCTCACTATGTTGCCCAGGCTGGTCTTGAACTCCTGGAACTCAGGTGATCCTCCTGCCTCGGACTCCCAAAGTCCAGGGATGACAGTCATGAATCACCGCACCCAGCTGCATTTTGGGCTATTTAAAATAGAACTGCTACTAACATTCTTGCACACACCTTTTGGTGGGCTTATGTCCTCATGTTTATTGGGTGCGTGCTCAGGGGCAGAAGTGCAGAGTTGTAAGGTTGTATATGTTTAACTTTCATGGATCTGCCACCCCAGGGCCTGTTTCTCTGCTTGTCTGACCCTCTCCTTCTCCTCCCCCTGCAGGGTTCACGGACACCTTCAACATGGACACTAGGAAGCCACAGATCATCACTGGCTCCAGGACTGCTTTCTTTGGCTACACAGTGCAGCAGCATGACATCAGTGGCAAGAAGTGGTGAGTGAGGTTGCCACCCAGCCACCCATGGTGCCCACACCTGGCCCTCCCACTGCCCAGTGCCCCGCACCACCCACCTGGTCTTCCCAAGTAGACACTCCTGTTTCCAGTGACTTGATCGGGTCCTGGCAAGGCAGAGGCTACACGGGCTCTGCCCTTGACCATGAAGGCCCGAGCGTTCAGTCCCTCGGGCCCTCGGTCTCCTCGTCTGTGAAATGGAGATGAATGAGCCCTCCTTCTCTGAGTTATGTGAAAGCACGGGGAGCAGGCACATGAGGACCATAGGCAGCCCCTCCCATCCCCCCAGGGCCTCAAGGTCTCACCTCCAGTCCTGGCTATTTGGGGAGGGGTGTCTGCGAGGGGTTGGATGTGCGTGTCCTCACAGGCTGAAATACGGTGTCAGGGGACAACGGGGAGGGGATTTGGATTGTTTCCATTTTGGGCTGTTTGAAATAGAGCTGCTGTTAGCAATCTTGTGCCCATCTGCTGACAGGCTCATGTTCTCATTTTTGTTGAGTATATATTTAATCCTAGGAGGATCTGCTCAGCATATTTTCCAAATTGGCCCACCTATTTCAACTCTTTCTAGTAAAACAAGAGAGTTCTGATTGTTCCACGTTCTTCCCAACACGTGGTATTATCTGTTATTTCCATTTCAAGCATTCTGGTTGTGTGTGGTAGTATCTCCATGTGGGTTTAATTTACATTTCCCTACTTGCTAATGATATTGAGCAACTCTTCATGAATTTACTGTCCATTTGATATCCTTCTTTGTGAAGTGATGCATCAGGCCTTCTGCCCATTTTTAAAACAGTGCAGGGTATCTTTTTCTGAGTGACTTACGGGACTTCAAAGGCTATGTCCTATATACGAAGCCCTTGTCAGATAGAGGCATGGCAGACAACTTGTCCCACTCTGGGGCTGGTCTTTTCATTCTCTTAATGGTATTTTTTGAGGAACAGAAGTTCTTAACCTTAATAAAGCATAATTTATCAATCTCTGTGTGCTTGATATTTTTTTCTGTATCCTACTTAAGAAATCTTTGACTCTCCCAAAAATTGTGAAGACACTCTCCTCTGTTTTCTTCTAGAAGGCTTGATGTTTTCACTTTCTCATTGAGGTCCATGACTCATCTCAAATTAATTTTATTTAAGGTGTGAGCTAAAGATGAAAGGTTTGGAGTATTTATTTTCCCTCTGAATATCTAATTGATCTGGCACCATTTGCTATAATACTGTTTTCTCGCACTCAGTTCTAGTGTCATCTTTGTCAGCAATCAGGTGACCATACTATGTGGGTCTATTTCTTGACTCTGTTTTATTACATTGGTCTATTTATCCAGCTTGTGCCAGTAAAATCTCCTTTAGTCACTGTAACTTTAAAATCAGTCTTGAAGTCAGGCAGTGTGAGTTTTCTATGTTCAATTTTCTTTGAGAATATTGTTAAACTATGCTAAATTCTTTATACTTCTATATAAATTTTGAAATTAGCCTGTCAATTTTCCTTGAATAAAATTTGCTGAGATTTTGATGAGCATTGCAGTGAATTTACAGATTAAACTTTTATAGATAAATCTGAGGAGAAATGAAATGTTAATAATACTATCTTCTAATTTATGAACATGTATTTAGTCACTTAAAAAATTTTTCTCTCAGTAATGCTTTGAAACTTTCAATGCAAGTATTGCACATCTTTTATTACACTAATTCCTACATACTTACATTTTATGCTATTAAAAATAAAATGTTCTTATTTCATTTTCCAATATTTTCTGCCAGTATATAAAAATACAATTGATTTTTGTATATTATGTTATATCCAGCAACTTTACTAAAGTCATTTATTATTTCTAAAAGCTTCCTTGTAGATTATTTTGGATTTTCTATGTATACAATCAAATTGTCTAAAATAATTACAACTTTATTTCTTCTTTTATGATTTTCATAACTTCATTTTTCTTGCCTAATTGCACTGGTTAGGATTTTCAGTACAAGGACAAATAGAGGTGGTGATACTAAGTATTCTCTTCTTATTTTCATTAGGGAAATGTCAATATTTTATAATTAAATTAGATGTTAACTGTAGTTTATTAATTTATTCATTGTAGATACCTCTGAAGGTATCTGCTCAGCATATTTTCCAAATTGGCCCACCTATTTCAACTCTTTCTAGTAAAACAAGAGAGTTCTGATTGTTCCACGTTCTTCCCAACACGTGGTATTATCTGTTATTTCCATTTCAAGTATTCTGGCTGTGTGTGGTAGTATCTCAATGTGGGTTTAATTTACATTTCCCTACTTGCTAATGATATTGAGCAACTCTTCATGAATTTACTGTCCATTTTGATATCCTTCTTTGTGAAGTAGAAAAGAAGTTCTTTTCTACTCCTAGTTTCCTGAGGTCATTTTTTAAAAATAGTAAATAGGGCCAGGCTCGGTGGCTCAGCCTGTAATCCTGCACCTTCGGGAGGCTGAGGTGAGTGGATTGCCTGAGCCCGCGGGCTCAAGACCCGCCTGGGCAACTTGGCAAGACCTCATCTCTACAATAAATCAAAAATTAGCCAGGCATGGTAGCGCGCGCCTGTAGTTCCAGCTGCTTGGAAGGCTGAGGCGGAAGGATCGCCGGAGCCCAGCAGGTCGAGGCTGCAGTGGCCAGGAGCAGCCACAGCACTCCAGTCTGGGCGACTGAGTGAGACTCCGACTCAAAAAAAAAATAGCAAATAGGTATTAAATGTTATCAAATGCTTTTTTCTGCAACAATTGAGATATGGTTTTTTATTCTGTTAATATGGTTAGTTACACTGATTGATTTTTTTTTTTAGTATTAAACCAACACTTCTAGGATAAATCTCATTCAGTTACCTTGTAGTCTCCCATAAATAGTCTCAGGAATTTTGTTTCTGTGAGGTATTTGTGTCTTTTTTATTTCATGAGGTACATTGGCCTATAAATTTTCTTTCCTTTTAGTAATGCCTTCATCAGATTTTGGTATAACAGTTATTCAGACCTCAAAGAAATGTGTTGAATATGTTCTCACTTTTTTTATTATCTGGTAAAACATACAGTCTGTTTTATTTTTTTATAAATGTTTGGAAAAATCTACCAGTATAGTATCTAGAATTTCCTTTGTGGGAAGATTTTTAATTATAGTTTCAATTTCTTAAAGATAATGGGCTATTTAGATTTCCTATTGTTTCTTGTGTTAATTTTGGTAATTTGTGATTTCAAGTAATTTGTCCATTTTGTTCAAATGTAACTGACAAAATACTATCCATATTAGCCAAATGTCTTAACTCTTTAGTGACACCCTCTTTTGTATTCCTCTTATTGATAATTGCTATTGTCTCTCTTGCTCTTGATCAGTCTTGCTATGGGTAGATCAATTCATGAATGTTTTCTAAGGATCAGCTTTGGTCTTTATTGATTTTTCTCTATTGCATATCGTTGATTCTCTGACCCTTTCTTTTCTAATATATCCACATAAGGTTATAAATTTCTTCTAGCATTGCTTTAGCTACATCCTACAAATTTTGATGTTTTCATTATCATTGAGACTAAAATAATTTTTAATTTCCATTGTGATTTCCTCTTTGACTCATGAGTTATTTGGAAATGTGCATTTTAATTTCCAAATACTTGGAAATTGTTTTATTTTTCTTTCTGTTAGAGTTCTAATTTAATTCTACAGTGGCCAAAAGAGACACATAGTTTAAATTTCGTAATATATGTTAATACCATCTTATGATTGAGGATATGGTCTATTTTGGCAAATTTCCAGCATACTTGAAAGGTGGTCCATTCTACATTTTATTGAGTATTACTTCTATATCTATATATCAATTAGGTCAATTTGGTTGTATTGTTCAAATCAACTCCCTCCTTAATTATTATTATTATTTTGTCTGCATATTTTATCAGTTTCTGAGAAAGTTGAACTAAAATCTCCAGGCATCTTGGGGATTTGCCTGTCTCCTCTTTGGCTTCTGCCAGCTTTTGCTTTATATTGGGGGTGCCAAAAATGTATACACCTTTTAAGAGATGTTATCTATGTATTCCTTTGGGTTCGTCATAAGCAGAAGTATCTGGACGCTGATGGTAACCACTTTGAGCACCTCTTGTAATTGCAGAAGTCAAACATGACTTGTGTTAATCTTTTGTTATCGGTATATATCGAGTATTACAATTGTAATATAGTTTTTCCTTTCTTAAAATGTGCATACAGTTTTTTGGCACCCTCTGTATTTTGAAGCTATGTTAATTAGGCATATACAAATTTAGGACTATTGTATATTCCTGTTGAATAAACTCATTTGTCATTATAAAATGTCTCTCTTTATCATTTTTTTTTTCTAAAGTCTACTTTGACATTAATGTAGGCATACCTAGTGTCTTTTTGTAAATTTTTGTGTACTCTGTCTTTTAATCCTTTTAATCCTTGTCTTTTAATCCTTCTGCTGTCAATCTTTCTGTATCCTTATATTTAAAGTATTTCTTTTTTAAACAGCAGATAGTGTTCTTAATCCAGTCTGACAATTCTTGCCTTTTAATGGGCTAATTTCATTTAACATCAATAACTGATATCGCTGGGTTGAAGTCTATTGTCTTGCCATATGTGTTCTATTTTTCCATCTATTTTTATCCCTTTATTTCTCCTTTCTGAACTTTTTTGAATTATTCAAGTATTTTGAATATTTTTTCTTCTCTGTTAGCTTTTTAACTTCTTTTATTGATTTTTTTAAGTGTTCATTGTAGAAACTACAATGTGCATTCTCGATTTATTACAACCTACTTTAGTATTTATGCCACTTCCTAAATAACACAAAAAATTTTTTAATCTTTTGTGCTATTTTTGTCATGCATATTACCTTTGCATACATCATAAATTCTACAAGACATTATTATTATTGCTTTAAACTGTAAATAATAATGTCTGTTTACCCACATAGCTACACTTTCTGGTGCTCTTCATTTTTTTCCTACAGTTATGTGCTCTCACCTGAG